TTGGTCAATGACATGAGACAAAGTATATGTGAACTGCTGTATGAAAAGTGAATTTACTCTGTAAATCTTCACCCAAATCCTAATAAAAAAAAAAAGAAGAGGAGTAACACACCCAGGGTCACTAGGTACAAGGGTGGGGCCTGGGCTAGAACCAGTGAGTTGAGCAACAAATCCCAAGTGGTTTCTTCTAGAATATTTGTAGACCATTCATGCTCTTGAAACTTCTCTGTGTTTATAGGACCATTAGCTTACTAGACCAGCTGTCTAGAAAAGATCATCTCTAACACATAAAAAGGAGTTTAAAGATCTTGTGACAGGCAGGTTAGGTGAGAAGGGTTCCATGGTTCTTCCTGTCCTAGACTCACAACAGATAACCCCTAAGCCCAGCTCTGAGCAAATCTCTCATCCACTCAGTCAGTGCTCCTCAGAGGCTCCCAATGGGTAGAGACTCTTCCCTCTAAAAGTCAATGTGTTCTGTATTCTGGGCTTGCCTTCAGCTATTTATATACACTGGCCATTCAGTGTAGCCAAAGTGATGATAGAAATGCAGACATAATAGTTACAACTCTCACTTACTATGATTCCAGACTCAATAACACAAAGAGATAAAGTTATTTGCCTCACATCACAAGCTAGTAAGTGAGGAGCCCAGTTTCAAACTGAGGGAGTCTGACACTAGAACCTGAGATAACAGACTAAAATAGAGATAGACAGAAATGAAAAGAGGGAAAAATACCAAAGCTAAAACCGATATCCATACTGATTTAGTTGGCCAAGTAGATTGTCATTAAGAAGGCAGATCCCAGAGGGGGCAGGTGATGCAATCACTAAAACATTTACAGTTTAGGGAAAGACATGAGCTCTGAAGACAGACAAACCTAAGTTCAAGTCCTCATCATGAAATGTATTAGCCATGTAACTGAAGTAGTCATTAAGCCTCATGATGCCTCAGTCTCCTGTTCTGTAAGATGAGTATAATAATACTGTCTTTATGTTGTTGTTAGAAAGAGTCCTGTGAATTAAGAAGGAGCTCTGGTGGTGTAGTGCCTAAGGCATTTGACTGCTAACCAGAAAGCTAGTGATTCAAACCCACCAGCCACTCCTCCCAAGGAAGGTTGGGCAATCTACTTCTGTAGTGATACCACCTCAGAAACCCAAGGAGGGGTCACTGTGAGTTGGATCCAACTGATGGGAGCATGTTGCATTGGTGTTGTGTCTTCTCAGGAGTCCCTAGGTGGTGCAAAAAGTTAATGTGCTTGGTTGCCAACCAAAAGGTTAGAGGTTCGATTCCACCCAGGAGTTCCTCAGAAGAAAGGCCTGGCAATCTACTTCTGAAAGATCATCCACTGAAAACGCTATGGAGCACAGTTCTACTCTTACCCACATGGGGTCACCATGAGTCAGAGTCAGCTCATTGGCAACAGGTACTGGTGGTCTCTTCTTAGACACTGGAGACTCTGAGAGGTAAAAATAGTGGAGACCATCTCGACAAGAGTAAAAGGAGAAAGAGAGGTTAGAGTGGCATCACTGGAGGAGGGACTGGATCCCAGAAACCCCAGGCCAGAAAGAGACCTCAGAGGCAGTTTTCTGACCTATAATACACATCAATGGTGGGTAATTCACCTCCAAATTTCCAATGGGGAGCTGGCTTGGCCAAAATCAGACCATAGGATAAATTTCTAAATGTCATATTGACCATCATATCTCTGATAAAGTAGATGCGACAACCAGGGAGCTGCTGCACTGGCCATCATTTCTACCTTAATGATGAGCAATGAGGAACTTTGACAGGAAGTGGGCCTGGCTTGGTTCCTAGTCCACCTTCCCTTTCCACCACACTCAATGCTCAGCCCATCAACTGCTCGCTGTTCTCCAAACACACAATGCTCTTTGATGCTTCCCTGACATCTTCTGTAACACAGCATAGGCTGGGGTCCCTGGTTGGCAGGCCCTTCCCATTTCTTTAGAACCTATCTATCCTTCATACCAAAACCACTGCCATCAAGTTATTGCAACCCCATAGGGCAGAGTAGAACTGCCCTATAGGGTTTCCAAGGCTGTAAATCTTTACGGAAGCAAACTATCTTATCTTTTTTCCTGTGTAGCAGCTGATGGATTCAAACTGCTGGCTTTTTGGTTAGTAGCCAAATGTATTAACCACTGCACTACCAGAGCTACTTTCCATCCTTCATGATCCAATTCAAATGTCATCTCCTCCAAAGACTCTTCCAGTCTTCCAGGAAGCGTCAGCTCACAGCCTCCTTTATGTACCTCAGCACTTTGTCCCCATCCCTATCATGGCTCTCATGTCTTAATGACAACCTGGCACCAGACTACAGGCTTGCCAAGGGCAGGAACTTGTCTTTTTGTTGTCACGTGGAAGGTACTCTGTAAATGTTAAATGAACAAGCAATAGCAAAACAAAGAAATTCTGGGTATATCAGGTAGCCTTAGATAATAAGGAAGCCAATTGCTAAATATTCAGAGAAGGGGAAGGAGGGAGTGAGAAGACACAACGTGGCCTAAAAGACACCAGATTCTAAGAGAGGGGGTAGCGTAGTGCCTAAGGTACTTGGCTGCTAACCAGAAGTCTGGCGGTTCAAACCCACCAGCCACTCCTTGGAATGAAGGTTGGGCAATCTACTTCCGTAGTGATACCGCCTCAGAAACCCAAGGAGGGGATGCTATGAGTCGGGTCTGACTCGAAGGCACATAACAACAACAAGAAGCAATGAATGACCATCAATGATCCTAATAAAGAAGAAATTAGGAAGGCAACCAAAAATCAGTGTGGAGGCCCAGAATATTCCCCAGCAAGTTCTGTCCTAACCAAGTATGTAGAGATAGTGGAAGGAGAGCAGCACAGCTAAGGGTGAGCTGGGGGAGATGCTAAGGCCAGTGGACAGGGGCTGTTACACAAGCTCTAGGGAAGAAGGACAAGCAAAATGCTATTGGGTCAGTTCCTACAGAAGACCCGGGAAAGCTAACAACTCAATTTCTATGTTGTTTTCCTCTTTTCCATCAAGGAGAGCAGTCATCAAACCAGAAAGGGCAAGATAAAATACTTGAGAAGAAATGGAAGCCAAGACAGATAGAGAGAATATGACAGGCTTTGGCCTTGTTGGTGAGCTCAGGGGTCCAGCCCAGAGGATTATGTCCCAGGAAACCAAGGGGATGTTGAGGGGATGAGAGAACTGCCCCTGGTGATCCTTGAGAACATAGAGCATATTGGAGGGTCTTCAAATGTCTTGATGTTCAAAGGTGAAAGATTTAGAATTCTCAAGATTGACCTTGATGTCAATCTCCTGCAAATCTCTCAAACCAAAAAAACAAACTCATTGCCATCGAGTCGATTCTGACTCATAGCGACCATCTTTGGGTTTCTGAGGCAGTAAATCTTTACCGAAGTAGATTGCCCAGTCTTCCTTTTGCGGAGTGGCTTGTGGGTTTGAACCAATAATCTTCTGGTTAGCAGTCAAATGCCTTAGGCACTACTCTACCAGAGCTCATGTTTGTGAGGCATAGAGACAACAAGATGATAATAGTACTTGTATTATGGAGTGGTTGAGAGTGTTATGGAAAAAAGTTCATCAAACCACTGAAAACATGAAAGTTATTATTAATAATTAATAAAAGGGTCAAGGTTCCATCTTCTACCAATTAAGTTGCACTGATGAATTCAGATCAAACCCCCAGGGAAAAACCTCAAGGCTGTATGTAAATGTATGCAAATTCTCCTGGTCCATTGAACATCTCACCATTTCATAGAGATGTCGCAAAAAGTCAATCTCCTGCATCAAGGTGTCCGTTTTGCTTTGCAGATCCATTTGGCCCATGTATGCAGCATCTACATCCTGGAGCAAGAGAAACAGCAGGGCAAATGGCTCAGTCCCCAGGACTGTCACTTCTCTGAGTCAACCCAGCACCATGGAAACCAAAAGACCCTCTATCCCTACTCCCTGCCACCCTGCTCACCTTCTTGAGCAGGACAAACTCGTTCTCTGCAGCAGTGCGCTTATTGATTTCATCATCGTACCTGTTACACAGGGAAGTCTCAGGCCAGGAGGCAAAAAAAAAAAAAAAAACCCAAACCCATTGCCATGGAGTCAATCCCAACTCATGACAACCCCGTGCAGTCAAACCGTTCCTTAGGGTTTTCTTGGCTGTAATCTTTACAGAAACAAATCACCTGGCCTTTCTTCTGTGGCATGACTGGGTGAGTTCAAACAGGCAACCTTTGGTCAGTGATCAAGTATATACTGTTTGCTTCACCCAGGGTCCTGGCTTAGCCCAGTTCTGACCCACTCAGCTCTAAGGAAGTCTTGATGGGCCCCATGTTAGCCAAGATTTCCTTTGGAGTACAGCTCGTTAATGTAGCCAACCAGTAAATGAATTCTGTCTGCATTTCATTTCAATATCCTTTCTTACCCACCTCTTTTGAGGAAAGGGACACAGAATTTGTGCAATAATGTGACAATCAAGAGCAGCCCTCTCTTTGGATCAGAGCCTTTAGGAGGCTTTACAAGACAGGTGAAGATGTGCCAACAATGGTTAACCTTTGCCTACACTTTCAACAACTCGATGTCATCTAAAAAGACTAACTCCTCCCCAACTGCTTTTGCTGAGAAGTTAAAGTTTAGAAGTTGTCAGTGTCAATCTATGGAGGCAGTTATTTAAAATTGTGTCTTAACATTATAAATAAGCATATCAAACTACCATAATGCATGAGCCTAATCTGAATCTTGACTCAAAGAAATAATATTTTTGTAAGTTGTGATATTTATGAGACAATTGGAAAGTCAAAACTTACTGGATATGATATTAAGGAATTATTGCTTTAAAAGTTTTAGGTGTAATTTTGGTATTATTTTTATGGTTTATTAAGTCAAGATATACAGATGAAGTATATGAATATGCCTAATAACATACTTGTGAATGAAATGACATGATGGCTGGGATTTGGGGTGAAGTGGGTAGGGGTATAGGTAAAACAAGGTTTGCTGTGAGCTGATAATTATTAAATGGGTGGGGAGAACATGGACTTCATTATCTTGTTCTCTCTATTTTTTATAAGTGTTGACATTTTCTATAATAAAATTATGAAATTGTCACAAACTAAGGTGACGGTTCAGGAGGCAGTGGGTCCTGGGCCTGAGTGCCTAAGTGAGCCAGCTCTGTCTGTGGCCCTTCCCCCTATGCTGTTGACTCCCACCCACCCCCACCATGACCCAGACTGCCCAGTCCCCTCACTTGTTCTTGAAGTCCTTGACAAGATCATGCAGGTTCCTCTGCTCGGAGTCCAGCCTTCCCCGCTCACTCTGGATGCTGTCCAGCTGCCTCCGCAGTCTGTTTAGGTAGGACTCCAATAAGGGCTCCAAGTTGTTCCTGGTGACACCTGTGTTCTGGCCCTGCTCTTGCAGTAGTGCCCACTTGGTCTCTAGCACCTTGTTTTGCTGCTCCAGGAAGCGCACCTGAGCCAGAAGAAGAGAGGTGAGCTGATACCATTTCCCAGCCATAAGACAGGCCAAGGATAGGGGCCCACCACTTCCCACCAGTGGTCCCTTGGCTCCACCAGTCATAGAGCAGGGCATCAAAGGGCCAGTACAGGGCCTACACTTGCTGAGGGGAATAAGCTTCACTGGAAATGGTAGTGCAATCAGAGTAAATGAACTTTAATGAGCTAATTAACATAAAAGCCCCAGCTCAGTTATTTACTAATATACTAGTCGGTGACCTTAGTCAAATCACTTCCCTCTGGATCTTGATTTCTCACTGTCTTGGGTTAAGTGGACTTGACAAATGTTTCTGAACCCTAACTCTGCATCAGAATCAACTGTTAAAAGTACAAATGCATATATATTTAAAAAAAAAAAAAACTTTTTTTCATCAAGTCAATTCCAACTCATAGCGACCCCAATTGGGTTTCCAAGGCTGTAAATATTTACAGAAGCAGACTGACACAACTTTCTTCTGCAAAACATTTGGGTGGTTGGAACCTCTGACCTTTTGGTTAGCAGCCAAATGTCTTAGTCACTGCACCACCAGCGCTCCAGATATATAGAGATAGATAGAGATAGAGATATATACACACACATATATATATGTGTGTGTGTGTGTGTATATATTTATATATATGTATATACACACACACACGCATACATACACGTGAACATAGAGAGAAAGTAAATGTGGCCAAATTAGTGAATCTTAGTGAAAAGAGTATACAGAAGGATGTTGTACTAGTCTTTGCAACTTACCTGTAAATGTAAAATTTTTTTCCAAAAAAAATTTTTATATACCGATGCTCAAGCCCCATCTGTGTAAACTCAGAAGGGATCGCTCAGGAGTTCTCTGCCCAGCCAGGGTTATGAACCAATGGTCACTAAAACCATCTCTCAGCCCCCAGCTCCTAGGCCATGATTCTGAGAACCTGAGAAAGGGTTTTGTTTGTGTGACCTCTGACTGTCCCAGAAAAGAATGAAAAGTCACTAGGTGAAGAGGTGAGGAGGGTGGGTGGAACAGCTTGCTTCACCTTCTGCCATCCAGTCTCCCAAGCTCCCACCTCCACAACACCCAGGCCCACAGTCATATAGTATAAGAGCAATGAGCAGTAAGAGTCCTCTTGGTGCCAAGGACCACAGAGAGGCCCCACATCACCAGAGCTCCAGATCCCAACTCCCACTGGTTCTGGGAACCTGGATCCCAGTCCCACCTCTGCCTCTAAGTACGTGTGTGGTCCTGGAAAAATCACTTAACTCTGCAAGACTTGTTTTCTCTCCTTAAAAATGGGCACAATATCACCTACCACAGTACCACTGTGGTATCACATGAGAAATGGGACATGAATATCTTTGAGAAAGCACAAATCAATGAACCAAGAGTATGGTCATCCATCAGGATCTTTCTCATCAAGTCCCACTGCCTGGGCACTTAGGGCCAAGGTAGATAATGCCAGTGAAATGAACCAAGATATATGCCAGAGAACAGCTTAAGAGCTGCCCTTCTCAGCAAGGAGACAAAGGAAGCTGTTTGGGCACTCTCAATCTGAGACAGATTAAACTCCATATCCCAGGTCATGGTGACCTGGTGACCTGCTACTCATGGGCCACCCAAACTGAGCTTCCTGGATCAAACGGGGAAGAGGAGCAGGAGAAGCAAAGAAGGGGCTTCCCCTGGAACCCACTCTATCGGGTCCTAATTATACCTTTGCCCCTTAGACCTCCTCCAAGCCTAAGAGAACAGAGGACAGATTCAGGTCTCCATGCCCTCAGCCTTGAATAACTTGCTTGAATCTGAGCCATAGTTTTTCCAGCTATAAAATGACAAAAGGCAACAAAGACCACTCACTAAGAGGAACAATGAGGACAATCCTTTGTTTAGTCATGATATTAGGCTACTGTGTAACCATATCAATGATGACCACAGTAAAGAATTCAACATGGTAGAGATGGGCCTGGCCAATAGTCCTCATGAGTAGACTCACCTAAGGAATTGCATTAAGACCCAGAAGACCATCTCCAGCCACCCGCTTCTGGATATCCTAGGCATAGGCCAGAAGAGCTCCAAAAATTATTCCCTCAATCCTCCTCCCCAGTGCACATGAGGCTAGAACAGCCTTTATCCAGTCCACCCGTCTCTTAAAGGCCCTGCTTCTACCCCAAGGGCCCCTCCTCCCTGACCCCCTCCACTGCAACCCACCTTGTCGATGAAGGAAGCAAACTTGTTGTTGAGGGTTTTGATCTGCTCCCGCTCCTGGGTGCGCACCCGCTGGATCTCCCGGTCTATCTCCACGTTGAGGGGAGTCAGCAGGCTCTGGTTGACCATGACCTCCTGGATCCCACCAGGAGGGCAGGTGGGCCCAAATGTCTGCCTGCCAGCCCCTAGACCCATATAGGCCCCACCACTGAGGCCAAAGCCCCCCAGAGCCCTCCCTGAGGAGGCCCTTCCAGCCACACTGACTGAGATGCTCTTGCTGCCCCCCAAGTTATACAGGCTCCGGCTGCCAAAGCCACCTACACTGGGTTTGCAGCGGGCCCCCCCGCCACTGCCACTGCTTCGGGACATGGTCACTGAGCTGAAGCTGGTGCGTGTCCGGGATCCACCCCCTCCACAGGCAGAGTTGGAGCTGAAGCCCCCTTTGGTGGAGTATGTCTGCCGAGACATGGAGGACCTCATGCCTGTCAGAGGGGCACAGAGCAAGCTAAGCTGGGAGCTGTAGCTGGAAGGGAGTATAGTGAGTGGCTGTTCCACTAATGGGCTTTTTATCTTTTCCCAACTGGGCTGACTCCTAGTCTCCACAGACACTCCTGCCCCATTGCCCCAGGAGGAATGGGAGGGGCCCTGTGGGCTGGAAGAGTGCCCCCTCCCCCAGAAGGAGGGAGGGGCTACTCCCAGTTATCTCTTGTATTCCTGGATGGGACCAAGTGAGACTGTCTGGGGCAGGATGCCACCTTCTGCCCCCCCAGGCTGGCTTCCCTGGAAGCAGAATGATACGGAGATCCCCAACACCCAGTGTCTGGCTTGGTCTCCTCCCACCCAGCCCTGGTGGCCACCATCAATGGGGCTCTGTTTTGTGGGGTTTCTCCTAGTCCCCTGTGGTAAGCCAAGGCCCCAGAGCCTAGGGCAGTGCAGGTGGTAAGGGAAGGTACATTGTGTAATGGGCTGCTGAAGAGAGTGCCCAGGCCTGCTCCAGTCACAACCTTCCAGCTCACAGCCTTATTGCCTCCTGATAGGTCCAGGATAGGGGGCACAGATGGCAAGTGGGGGTGGGAGCAGTCTGTTGTTTTGTCATACACTGAAGACAAGGTGGCTATAAGGAGAGAAAGAATGTCCCTGCCCAACCATGGGCCTAAGCATGGACCTGGACACTGGAGGAAGACAGGAAAAGGCCTGGGCCCCTCAGAAGCAGCCTGAAGCCTAGAGGCAAAGCATACTATTCTGGGGCTGAGGAGAAGCAGAGGGGCTTCAATTACAGCCTAGGATCCTTGACCCCTTGCCCCATGGTGGAGCCTCCTCAGAAGGGCCCAGTCACTTACAAGGGAGTTGGTGGTGGGCAGAAGATACATCCTTTCCTGGCTAGAAATAGGTACAGATCCAAGAGACTCACATAGCACCATCATCATTACCAAATTCCTCTGGCCACAAGAAGCCCCAAGTCTTGATTCAAAAGGAGTCAGGCGCTCTTTGAATCACTTTACATGGTTCCACATCCAGGCTACTAGGACAGATCACAGTGCTTAGCAAAGACTTAGAGACTGAAAAGATCCAAGATGAGGGAGTGGTTGAGGAGGGGATCTTAGAGATTTGACTCTTCCTCCCTTCTCACAGGGAGAAATAGTCCCAGCAGGGAGCAGACACAGGCACTTGCTGTCTAATGCAAGGAGAGGAGGCAGGTGATGGGACCTGCATGGAGGGGTCCCACAGTCCAGGAGCCCAGAAGGGACTGTGGGATCTTTTTCTAAGGCAACTATTGTTGTTGTTGTTGTTATGTGCCGTCGAGTCAAACCCGACTCATCGCGACCCCTCCTTGGGTTTCCGAGGCAGTATCACTACGGAAGTAGGATTGCCCAACCTTCCTTCTGAGGAGTGGCTGGTGGGTTTGAACCACCAGCAGTCTGGTTAGCAGGCAAGTGTCTTAGCCACTATGCTACCAGAGCTCCCACTAGAAGGTTGTAAGTGACTCCCGACTGCCAGAAGAAGGTGAATCTAGTTCCTATGGGTAATGGGGGTGAGGAGCCCTCCTCTCCCACCCAGCCCAGATGTGGGACATGGGAGGGCACTTGCCATTTCCAGCCCTTAATCCCTAATTAGTCTCTCTCTCTTTTTTTTTTTTTTTTTTAAGAGCTTGTTTTACATTCAACATAACACGTACATTTAGTTTCATTCTCCATTTGCCATGTCCAACCCTAACCCAGTCTCCTCCCCTCCCTACCCTATAACCCTCCCCCTGTGCCTCTCATATTTATGCACTCCTGTTTGTCCTGCATTTCCTCAATTTGAATGTTGGTCCTCTGGTGTCCCGTGGTCTATTGTTCTAAGGAATGTATTCCCATAGAGTACGTGGGTGCATCATCCTGGGTTGAATGGTCTGTGTGTACATCTTGTTAACTATTGGGCTGAGAGCCCACCCCTGGGGGTGAGTTTTATTCCAGGCACAGAATGTATTCCAGGGCCATAGTATTGGGAGTCTCACCAGATTTCATCTGACCAGTAATTCTGGTCATTATTGAGTTTTTGGATTTTGTTCCACATTTTCCCTCCCAATGTATCCAGGATCTCCAGATTTGATCCTTTCCTGAGTGGTTGGCATCGATCAGTAGCTGGGCACCATCTAGCTCTTCTGGTCTTGAGGGCCATCGTGTCCTAGGGCTGATTGCTTCTGAATGCCCTTGTTTTTGGTGGGGTTTTTTTGGGTTTTGGTTTTTGTTTTTGTTTTTGTTTTTTTGGCATTCTTCTTCACTTCCAATGCTAGGAGATCATTAGCTGCATCTTAGATGGCCACTTGAAAGCTTTTAATACCCCAATTAGTCTCTTAAAGCCAAGAAGAGATTTTCAGAGATAGCTGGAATTTGGGGCATCCTATCTGGCAGATGAATCCCCACAGAGCTGTGTGTCCTCAGGCAACTCTTACTCTCTCTGGGTCTCATCTTTTCTGCCTATAAGCAGGGCCCACCACAGAAGTCCTTTGGAAAAGCAAGAACTTGAGATCTCAGGAAGGAGAACTGGTAAGCAGAAGGTTCAAATCCAACAGCTGCTCCATGGGAGGAAGATGAAGCAATCTACTTTCTTAAAGATTTACAGCCTTGGAAACCCAATGGAGGTCACTATGAGTCAGAATCAACTCTATGTCAGGTTTTGTTTTGGTTTTGAAATCTTAGGACTGAGCTGTCACTTCCCATTTACCTTTGTCTCCTATCCCCGAGGCTGTGATCACTTTCTCAGTGTCCCTCATCTAGTTCAGTGTGGGAAGTAGAGAGTCATGAGTGGGGCTTCACCCCCAGAATGTGGCTGTGGGTTCCATGGGGAAGGGAATGATGTCAGTCCTCTGAGTCACAGCTACGGTGGGGAGGTGGGAGTGGGAATTAAGCTGTAAACATAAACTTCACCCCACCCCAGACACTCATCTAAGTAGTCCCCACATATTTACCCAGCACACACTCTGTGGGGCTGGTGATGAACAGGACACAAGTTCCACTTATGGAGCTCATGGAAGCTACATAGAGACAGCCTCCCTCCCACCCAGGAAGATGGCTCACCGGCCCCAGCCCAGACAGGAAAGATGTAGGGCAGTTTGCCTCCATCTTTAGTCCCAATCTGCTCTCACACAAGATACCTAAGCTCATACCTTCCTTCTACAGCTCAAAGGGAAGCTGTGTCCTCCCTCTTCCTTTCCACTGCTCCCTGCCATGAACTGTTTCCAGTGGCCTCCTGACCAGAGTCTCTCCCTGATGTAGAACATAAGAGTAGAGGGGCTTGAATGCTGTTGCTCAAAAAAAATGAGGCGAGACATGTGATCATTCATCAGCAAATGGCACCTGACCTCCTAATGGGAGCTAGCACTAGAAAAGATAACAGGATGGAGATGGCCCAGCTGCTGCCCTTGAAGAGCCCTCATAGAGGGCTGACTATATCATGTTTACTATCATTGTCATTGTTGCTGTCAAGTTGGCTCGGATTCATGGCGGCCCCGTATACAACAGAACAAAATGCTACCCAGCCCTGCACTATTGTCAAGATTGTTAGCATGCTCAGTCCACTGCTGTGACCACTGTGTATTTTGAGTGCCTTCCAAACTAAAGGCTTATCTTCCAGCACTGTATCAGACAGTGTTCTGTTGTGATCCACAGGGTTTTCACTAACTGATTTTCAGAAGTAGATTACCAGGCTGGTAGATCACTCTAAGCAGGGGGGAAATCTCCTTTTGGCATTATGAATCTGGTCCTAGTTTGTCTTAGTCTAAAAGCTCCTTTGAAACCTGTCCACCACCTGCAGGTATTTGAAATACCAGTGCCATAGTTTCCAGCATCACAGCAGCACACAAGTATCACAATATGGCAAAGTGATAGACAAGTGGTGGAATTATTATCATAGCCAGGATTTATGGAGGATTTCTAACATGACAGACTGTGGCCTAAGTACATTACAGGCAATAAGTCATTTCATCTGCACGTTGGTTATATACTCTGATTGTCTCCTCCCACTCTCCTCTGCCCTGCTCTGTTTCCTGGGAGACTGACACACACACACCCCATAGGCTGCTCCCTTGCTCTCTGGTTTGAGTTGGGAGACATGGACAGGAGATCAGAGGAAGGGAGAGATAGAAGCTAGATGTTTCTTTCCTACTCCAGCACTGTCTCTGGCAGTGCTACATTCCTCCATGATTACAACTTCTTCTGTGATCCCTCTTCCACAGTTCCAGCAACTCTAGGATCTACTGATCACACTTCAGCTCTACAGAGGGTGACCAACACATGCTGATTTTCCCAGGACTGCCTGGTTTTAGCTCTGAAAGTTCTGGGTTTTGGAAAAACCCTCAGTCCCAAACCAGGACAACTGGTCACCCTCCCATTAAAGATAACAACTCCCTGCTGTCTCCAGTCTCTGGCTTCCTCATCCTTTGTTCCCTGAGCCTTGCTCACACCTCTGTAAGCAATCTTTTCATTAAAGTCAATGACATTGAACTATCTTTCATGAATTCAATGTGAATTCCTTCTGGGATCCTGAATAGCACAAATCTCACACAACCCTGTGAGGTAGGTATTTTTATTAAATCCTTTTTACAGATGAGGAAAATGAAGTAAAGAGATGGTTAAGTAACTGGGTCAAAATCAAACCACTAGTAAATAGAAGAGCTGAGATTTGAACCCAGCAATCTGGCTCCAGGCCCATGTTCTCATCCAATGCACTGCCTCCCTCACACAAGGTTGAAAAGCCTCCTTCTGAGATCATTTTGATGAAGAGATCCATGGATCTGAGGAAGGGGTTGTCTCCCCCTAAAGCAGCCCAGCCTCTGGAGATTGGAGTTGACCCAAGTTACCTCCTGGGTCTGGAAAGGGAAAGGGGGTGGGAGCAACACTTTAGGCATTGATAAGGCTGCTGGGGAGGGTGGGGAGAAGGTGATTCTCCCAGGCCCTCCTAGCTCCTTGTCCTTGATGCTCACATCCTTGGTTTCTTGCAGAGCTTCTTAAAGGAAATAGAAGGAGGAGAAATTTCCAGCTTCTTACTCAGACAGGCCTAGGCATGGGAAGGGAGCCAAGAGATAGGAAAGTTAAGGGAACAGTTTCAGTCCCAAGTCCCCATCAGAGCCACCAGGCACAAGCTAACCTGAAGGTCCCTGTCCTGGATGCAGGAGAAGAATGTGTCCATGATTCCAGGCTAATAGAGAAGCTAGGTTTGACACCAGAACCCAGATATATGTAGAGACCAGGACAGCAACAAGTGCAGCCAGACCGTGCTGGGGACAGGAAGGGACTAATGAGTGCAAAGATGTGGGTTTAAGAAAGGTTTCCAGGAGGAGAAAAAATTGAAGCAGACTTGAGAAGAAGAAGGAACAAGAATGAAGAGAGATGCCCCAGGTCAGGAGTAGAGCCTATTACAGGCAATTAATTAGGGAACAAGCTTTGAGAATTACTAATATCAATGGAGATGCAAGGAAATGGAAGGAATCCCAGAGAGAATACAGGAGGGCTTGACAGAATACTTTGATAAGCTGATTGGGATGAGCAGTGAAACATCTCTGGGGCATACTTGAACAACCACCAATATTTTATAAATTGTTTTCTGAGGAGATTGGGCTGGGGAGCAGTACAGCTTTTGCTTTGCTGGGTGAGGTATACAACTTCAGGGGCAGAGCTGAATTGCTGGAAGAAGTGGCAGAGAAGGTACGCATTGCCACAGGGGCCCTTTGTGTCCACCCTTCAGTCTCTCCTCTAACTGCACATTGAACACATATTTCAGACTATTGCTTAGAATCAGTGCTAAACTATTAACCTGCATGGGAGACTCCCATCCAGGGGAAGGGCCAGACTAAGGCTCCGAGACAAAAGATGGGAGTGCGATAACAAGAACCTGCATAGAGCCTGGGCCAGGTTGTCACTGGAATAGGAAAGGAAGAAAGGACAGAGCACAGAATAATCTCACCACAAGTTCCTAATACCAGCCCCTACAAAAAAAAAAAAAGTTGTTGAACCGATGTCAACTCATGACAACTCCATGTGAGTCAGAATAGAGCTGCACCATAGGACTTTCAATTGATGACTTTTGGGAAGTAGATCACCAGGACTTTCTTTCAAAGGAACTGTGGGTGGAGTCAAACCTCCAACCTTTCAACTAGTAGCCTGCACCACCCAAGGACTCCCTCTCCAGGGTGTCTGAATTAACCACAGGAAGCCTTTGGCCCTGGAGGCTGGAGGCTTAGAGAAGGAAGATCTGACTCTTGTGAGTGGGAGGGATTATGCCAGAAGGAGTGGGAGACACACTGTAACCATTAAGAGGGCTGGACCTTAAATATGTCTAAATATTGCCTTCCAGAGAAAGCTGAGTCCCAGCACAGTGCCTCAAGTATGTTTGCACTCAGTAGAATTTGTGGGAAGTATGGAGGGTAAGAGGGAAGGAGATGGGAGAAAGAAAGATCCACCCCAGGGAGAACTAGATGCTGATTCACTTACAGGAGAACTTGAGAAATAGAGACCCAGAGAGAGAAGGGAAGAAGACAAGGCCTCTCAGTTCCAAGCTCCATACTTTGGTCAGCGGACCTGAGGTCCACCACAGCCCTGCTACATTTGGTCTATTGCTTAGAATCATCATTAACTTGCATGAGTCACCCCCGTCCAGGAGAAAGGCAGGCTAAGGCTCACATATGAGAGATGTGAGTGAGGCAACAAGAAGCAAGAAAGCTTGCTGTAGTGGACAGAGCAATGTTAATATCTCTCCCAGTGGAGCTGGTTCCTCCTAGTGACTCACAGTGTCAGGAAATCTATCAGAACCCCTTTAGTAGGGAGAGTTGGGATTCTATTCCCCTTCCCTATTGACCAAGCACACCCAGGAGTTTGTCCAACTCAGCCTGGAGGCTGGGGGAAGAGAAGAAGATGAGATTGGCCAGCTGGTGACTGGAGGGCTGGCCAATATGCACCTTGAGTTGGGGTAAATGGCAACCAAGTGAGACGGGTAAGCATTCAGAGCAGCAGACAGGGAGTTCTAGGGAGAGGAAAATGGTATGACTTTATTGATTTTTCAGAATCCTGTTGGGCTGGCTCAGTCTGTGGGCAATGGAGACAGAGCTCACCAGGCAGAGCCCAGTGATGAAGCAGGCCTGACTGGTTCTGGGAAGGAAGTGAGGGAAGCATCTGCCAGTTCACTCAGTATGTGATGGATGTCTTCAGAGTTGACTCGACTGTCTTCATCAGAATGGTGTGGGAAGTGGAACTGGAGCTGGAGCCAGAACCAGAACCAGAACCAGACACAGAGCAGGAGCCCAACACAGAGCCCTTCTGGGAGTCCAGGATGACATTGGAGCCTCCAGTCACAATATTGGAGCAACTGGACCCAAAACTACCTTTCCCACCTCCAAGTCCACAAGTGCCCACCACGTCTCCACTGACTCCTCCAGACACCATCGTGCTGTCCCCCACCGTAGCTGCAAGAATTGCACCAGGGTCACAACAGGGTCCTCATTACCCCACAAAGACCCCTCTCCCTAAATCCACTGATACTCACAGATTGTGACCTGGCTGGTGCACTCCCCAGACATCCTGGAGGAAAAAAGAACAAGAGGAAGAAACTCTAAGAAAGGCTGCAGAAAATGCATCCTCCAGGTGCTTATAAGCCTCTGAGCAGCCCTCTCAGCTGGTAAAATCTACAATCCCCAAAGTAAAATCCCTCCCTGCAGAGCTGGTTGCCCTTAGTTGCCCTTAGTGATTCACAGTGTCAGGAAAGCTATCTCCTTTGACAAGGAGAGCACTGGGTGGGACTTCCATTCTCCTCCTCCACCTTTCTGGGTTACTGTCCTATATCCCCCATCCCTCCAACCTTCCCTCACCTGCACTCCTCGCCCTCCAGCAGCCTGCGGTAGGTGGCAATTTCCACGTCCAGGGCCAACTTTGTGCTCATCAGCTCCTGGTAGTCCCGCAGCAGGCGGGCTAGGTCTTCCTTGGACTTTCTCAGAGCAGCCTCCAGCTCCTCCAGCTTAGCCTGAGCATCCTTGAGGGCCAGCTCCCCACGCTGCTCCACATCAACAATGGAAGACTGCAGGTTGGCATTCTGGGCAGGGGACAGGGGTAGAAATAAAGAAGGTAGTGGCTATGGACCCAACACAGCTTCCCAAAGCAATAAGTGCAGACATAACTTGAGGGCTAGGGTGGACCATAATCTCATGGGTTCAAAACTACCCATGGCCACCCCAGGTACCCTTAATTCTAAAGGAATCTATTGCCATTTCTGCTTCCTCACCTCCTTGCCACCTCCTGAGGTCATCTCCCCTACTTCTTCACATCCCCAATTCTTGGCACTGCACCTGAACCTCTCCCAAGGTATTTAAAGCTCTTCTTATACCATATGGGTAATTGTGAATGATTCTCAAAGGTCTTCATATTTTTAGGACAGCCCTCATTTCAAATATGTTATCCTATTATCAGATCATATCAAACGATGTGCCTCAATTCCTGGTATAAAAAATACCATCTCTGTACCTACATCTCCAAACTGACAGAAAACTTCTAGAGCAAAGACATCCCTTTCTAGTCAGACAGTTATATGACAATCTCCTAAATGTCTTCAAAAGGAAAGAAGACATTCCCTAATGGCCCTTTATGATTTTGTTCCAACACATGCACCCTGTGGACAAGGAACATCATGAGCATTTTATAGATGAAAAAACTGAGACTCAGAAAGGTAGTGAGTGGCAGAGCTGGGACCCTAAGCCAGCACAACTGATGTCCAAGCCACTGCTTTTACCATAGCCCACAGCCTGGCATAAAGGATCCCAGTTTATGCCTGGGCATGAATAAGAAAAGTAACTCACTGCCATCGAGTCTCATCCGACTCATGGTGACCCCTCCTTGGGTTTCCAAGGCAGTATCACTACAGAAGTAGATTGCCCAATCTTCATTCTGAGGAGTAGTTGGTGGGTTTGAACTGCCAGTCTTCTGGTTAGCAGTCAAATGCATTAGGCACTACGCCACCAGAGCTCCCAGGAAAAGTAAGTGGGTTGCTAAATCTTCTCACAGAAAAGGCCCATCGCTTTGTGTGTGTAGCTGTGATTCCCAGATGTAAGTACACTGTACCAGCTAACCACTTACAGGAGAGTAGATTATGACTCATGACAACCCTATGAGTGTCAGAGTAGAACTGTGCTCCATGGGGTTTTTAATGGATGATTTTTTGGAAGTAGATCACCAGACATTTCTCCTGGGATGCCTCTGAGTGGACTCAAACTGCTAACTCTTCAGTTAGCAACCAAGTGCATTAACTGTACTACCATGGGACTCAAGTTCATTGTAGACACTCAAAGTGCTGACACAGAGGCTCTGAAGCCTTCATGTGCTTCAGAACACCTGAGTGAACTTTGCTTCAAAAACAGGTATCTGGGCCCTACCCTTAAGGATTCTGATTCCTTAGGTCTGGCAGCAGGTCCAGGAATCTGCACCTTAACTAGAATTCCAGGGGATTCCAAAGCAAGGGATCAAATTTTATTTGAGAAACACTGTGGCAGCAAATTAAGTACTAGAACCCAGTCCCTTCATCACAACCCAAAGGGGAGCAGGTAAGGATGGCTCAAGAATAAGGTTGAGCTTTAAATGATCTGCTAGGAGAACTTTCCCAGGTGGGATAAAAGGGGTCCTGTTTGGTAATGGACTAGCCAAGACTGACTGGAGTCCTTGAGAAACCCTCCTGATTCTTGTCTCAGCTCTCAACCCTGTGTTGGTTCCAAAAACGACTATTTGGGTTTTGGGAATATGAGTGCAAAAATAGTTGATAACTTAAAAATTTATAATCCTTCACATCTGGAAATGAGGTCTCCAGGAGGAGACCTTATCATCCTATCTTCTACCTCTCCCTATTCCTTCCCATGCTAGGCAACAAGAGCATCACCTCTGTGCAAAGCATCTCCTAAAGACAGACCAGCCACACACACCCTTGCCCTCACCTTTCCCAACAGGGGGGCAAAAAATTGCCATCAAGTTGATTCTGACTCATGGCAACCATGTGTTTCGGAATGGAACTGTTCTTCACAGGGTTTTGAAGGCTATGACCTTTCAGAAGCCAATCTCCAAGGCTTTCCTCCAAAGTAATTCTGGGTGGATTCAAATCACCAACCTTTCAGTAACTAGACAACCACTTAACCATTTGCACCATCCACAGAGTCCTCCCCTAACAGTTGTTGTTGTTGTTATGTGTCGTCGAGTGGGACCCGACTCATAGCAATCTCTCCTTGGGTTTCCGAGGCAGTATCACTACGAGAGTAGATTGCCCAACCTTCCTTCTGAGGAGTGGCTGGGACAGAGAAATTCAATGTTGGGCCTTAAAGGTCCCACTGAGCCTGAGTAGTGAGAGTCAAAGAAAAGATAGGAAAAGAGATGAGCTAACTCTTTGCCTCAAGGAGCCAAAAGCAGGATGTGCATGTGGACATGGATTACAACCATCCTGAAAAAAAATGCCAAAATGTAGGCTATACCTTATAGAAGAAAGACTGAATTTATCCTAAATGGAACTTGAGGTTCTCTCCATCCCAAATTATCCAAGTCCACAGCCAGCAATTACATTTTTCAACCCAAAATTAGTGGCAACTGGAAAGATAGAAACTAGGAATTGGAGAAGGAGTTAAGGACTAAAGTGATAATAAGAGAGGGGATTGGGAGGGCTCAGGAAACTTACCTGCTTCTTGAGGTTCTCGATCTGACCCTGCATCCTCTGAATGGTTTTGTGCAGCTGGGAGATCTGGGCTTTGGTTTCCCTCATGTTGTCCCCATGAAACTGGACAGATGCCTGAAGCTCATGGTACTGAGGAGAAAGAACAAGTGACCCCATTAGTTGAGAGAACGTCCACCTTTGACCCCAAGACTGTGGAAGACACCATGTTCTCAGGTCTTTTCCTCCTTACATCCTTATTTGGAATATGGGTTAAACACCTGAGACCAGGAAACAGTAGGATATGTTTAAGAAGTCTAAACTCTTCTCCCTTGGCAGCCTGGTTTCCCTTTGTGGCCTCCCACCTGGAGAGGTTGGAAATGGTCACCTCACTCAGCCTGAGACCTTTAGGGAGATTATTAGAACTGCCCCCATTGGGCCTAAGATGGATGTCCACCTGGTATGTGGGCATGGAGACCCAGCCTGTTCCAGCATAGTGCTGCCTCCAAGACCTCACACCTTGGTCTGGTACAGTGCCTCAGCCTCAGCCTTGCTGGTTCGAGCGATCTCCTCGTACTGGGCGTGGACCTCAGCGATGATGTCACTGAAGTCCAGGCAGCGGTTGTTGTCCATGGACAGCACCACAGACGTGTCACTGACCTGAATCTGGAGCTGGCTCAGCTCCTGCAAGGAAGATTGAATCAGTGTCCACTGCCACCTGGGAGTCCTGGGCAGGTGGGCAGGATGCCTGGACTTTCTGCCCACACTCTGTCAGGGGTAGCCCTCATTCACCCAGATCGTGGCACATCCCCTGCCTTCTGTGGGGCTCAATTTCCAATCTATAAATGAGGGTTTTAGGAGGTAGTCTAGCAGCTTTAATATCAAAGGCACATAGCCATCAAGACTTTCTATCACCTATTCTCATATCATGCTTCTCTCACCCACCTCCTACTCCTACTGTACCAGCCAAAATGGACTCTGCATTTCCTCAGACACCAGATACACTCTTGACTCTGGTTTTGCACTAGCTATTCCCTCTGCCTGGAGTCCCCACATATATGCTTGCGATTGCTGACTTCCTCATTCCTTTCAAATCTTTGCTCCAATTTTGCCTTCTGAGGAAGGTCTAATCTGACCACCTTTTTTGAAATTTCCACCTCCCCTATGCCTCCTCCCTGCATTCCCAGGTCTATTTTCCCTGTTCTAATTTTTCTTTTTTTCCATAGCTTTTATCTCTTTCCACTATAGGAAGAAAGATTCACCACCTTGGAAAGTCATGGGTGTCACTATGGGTCGAAATCAACTCAATGGCAGTGAGTTTGGGGTTTTTTTTTTGTTTTTGTTCTTGGACCATATGCTAGAATTTATGTATTTATTATTATTATTATTATTTACTTATTTATTAAGTCTATTGTTTATCTCCCAATAGAAAGTGAGAATCATGTTTTTTGTCTGGTTACTCATTGGTGGTTCCCTAGTACCTAGCAATGCACATAGTAACCAACCAGTTGTTGTCTAGTTTGACCCAGATGCATGGTGACCCCATGTGTGTCAGAGTAGAACTGTGCTTCATGGGTTTTCAGTGGCTAATTTGTTGGAAGTAGATCTCCAGGCCTTTCTTTTGAGGCACCTCTAGGTGGACTCAAACTATCAACCTTTTGGTTAGCAGCCAAGACTTTAACTTGTTCCATCACCTAAGGATTCACATAGTAAGCACTCCAAAATGGTTTGCTGAATGACTGGTGGGAATCTAAGTCATCCTAATAGGGCTTTGTCTCCTGCCCAGTTTCCCACCTTGGCCACAGAGAACCCACCCTGCCCTCCCTTTGTTCTAGCCTGCCCTTGGCAGATGCTTACTTCTTCATACAGATGCCTCAAGAAGCAGATGTATTCTCTCAAAGCCTCCAGCTTGCCTTCCAACTCCATCTTGCTCAGGAAGACCCCATCCACATCCTGGAAAGAGGGAGAAAGACACCATGTACAGCTTACTTCCTCTTTGTGGCACCTGCTCTCTGGCTTGGGAATTCTGTTCACCCATTGCCCCACACCCACCCACCATCTTGGAGACCCATTCCTTCCTCCTCCAGCCCAGCCCTGCCCTGCTCTCTCTTCCCTGACACTGCCCCACCCCCAACTTCAAGGAATCTTCCTTTATAAATCCCAACCAGTTCTTCCTCCATTCCCTCCCCACCTCTCCCAAAGTGACATCCAGAGCTCATCACTCTGATCCTCAACTAGGTCTTGTCTTGGAGTCCTGGGGTCTGGGGAGATGTCCATTTCCCTGGAGTTCCCTGTAGGATTCTTCCATAAGGATCCTCTACTCTCTGTGCCTCCAATCTGAGCCTGGACATTGTGTACAGTTGTTGCTCATAATCAAAGGGAGAGCAGGTGACCCTCACCCTCACCTTTTTGAGAACTACAAAGTCATTCTCAACGGTGGCATGAGTGTAGGCCTCTTGCTCATACCTGCCAAATAAGGAAGAAAGGGCCAAGCCTGAGTTGTTGAGTTTAGAGTCCATGCCCCTGCCTCCAAACATGACCTTCCAGAAGAAGTCACCCTTTCCTTTAGATGTTTCACAGAAGGACACACTACCAGCACCCTTCTCCATCTTTCCTAGGGAGAAGTTCTTGTCATGTCCTAGTTAAATCCCTCTGCCACTCTTTCAGCTCATGTCCCTTAATGACAATAAGACCATGCTATGTCAGTGTTTATAAGGGACATTCAAATACTTTTTCTCACCTGCTACTCCCAATCGCCATCTGAGGTAGGCAGTTTGAGTTTTATCAGAATGGTTTATATGACGTGCCCAAGATCCCACAAATGATTCAGAGATCAAAGCAGACCTAAAATTCAGGTCTTCTAGCACTAATCTTGGGCTTCTTCTAGGGCCCACCTCACCTTACAGTCCATCCTCCCAACAGCCCTAAAGGTAACAAGAACAGGTGACATTTTCCCAGTTTATAGATATAGAAATTGAGTCTGGGAGAGGTTAAACAGCTACTCCTTCTTCATAGTTGCCCAAATGCGATCTTATTAGTCCAGGACTCTCTCCACACCACCAGGTGACCTAGGTGAAGAGCTCAGAACCACAACCCAGATGTGAATCATGCTATTGGCCTAGGGATGGTCCCACTAAATTGATTCCATTCCACTCCTGAGACCAGAGAACATCTGAGTCACATTGGCTCACAGCCTGCTGAACAGGAATTTCTCGTGGAAAAAACCCACCAAGGCATTATTGAAATAAGCCCTTCCCAGCCATGACCAGAGACAGGGGCCCTCAGAGCAGGGGTTTGGTGGAACTTGGTGGAAGCCTAAATAAGACAGTCTCCCTGGCCTTCCTCCAAGACCCTCCAGATCTGAGCAAGCGTTTACCTGCAGCAGATGAGGCATCCTCAGAGTCAGGGGGAATAGGGATGCAAGAGGGGGCTTGAGGGGCAGCCAACCCTGGGAGCTCAGAATAAAAGAGACCCTCTGGCTGACAAACCCAATCTGAGTCCTCCCAGATGCCTCCCAGACCCCATGGCAAAGTGTTGGGAACGTGGCTTTGCGTACTTGGCCTTATATTCCTCCTCCTGGTCCTGGCAGGTCTTCAGCTCAGCATCCAGAGCCCCTCGTTCTTTCTGGAGCAGCTCTAGCCGCTTCCTGAGATGGGCCAGGTAGTCCTCAAAGAAAGATTCCAGGCCCTGGGAGCTGCCACTCACCCCCTGCTGCTGGAGCAAGTACCACTTGGTCTCCAGCACCTTGTTCTGCTGCTCCAGGAATCGCACCTGCAGGCCAAGCAGAAAGTCCCTAAGGTTCCCACAGGACTTTCTTGGCAGAGCAACTAGAAAATAAAGCCTCAGGGACCCTCTAGTCAGCTCCCCTTTTCCATGCCTCCCAATTCCACCTGGGCAAAGGAGGCCTCATGACGTCTGTGAGACTTTAACACATCCAGGAGATTGGAAGGAATAATACTGGCCAGCCCAAGCACCAAGCATGGAACAACAGGGTCTCAGCATAACCAAAGACACTCCCGTTAGGCCACAGGGGAATTTCCTTGCTGCAGAAGTGATTAGAAAAGTGGTAGAAGGAGACCACGTTCCCCATTCCCAAGTCCATTAAGAGTAGCTTCTCTGAGGGAAGCACAGAGAGAGAGAGGCTTGGTCCTCACCTTGTCAATAAAGGAAGCAAATTGGTTGTTGAGGGTTCTGATCTCTTGGGTCTCCTGGGTCCGTACTGTCTGGAACTGGGGGTCGATCTCAATCTTCAATGGGGTCAGCAGATTCTGGTTGATGGTTATTTCTTGGATGCCCCCCGGAGGGCACAGGGAAAGCCCAAGCCCACCTCTCCCCTCCCCAAATCGCATCCCCAGCCTTCCTCCTGACCCCCAAGTCCTCCCACCAGAGACCCCTCGGCACCCGCCAAAGGAACTAAGGCTCCTGCTACTGAAGTTGCCCCTGCCATGGCAGCTCGATGGGGCAGAACAGGCTGAGCGAGCACTGAAGCCCCTCTGAGTCCGGCATGGAGAGAGAGACATGGCAGGGGCTGATGGTCACGCAGCTGTAGACAGACAGGTAGATTGTCAGGGTGTGTGAGTTCCTGCCCTGAGGCTTCAACACGAGAAATTTATCCCCTCCCGTGACTGGGCTGGGCCTTGGAGAGCAAGATGCTCTTGGCCTGACTGTGTCTGGCACTCGGCTCCAGCTGACCTATCCTGACACACACTTCCTGCCCTTCGAGGCCTCCCAGCTATGTGCAGAGGCCAAGGGAGAAGAAGACCCAGACTCTGTCCCTGGAAATGTCAGGCTGCTGGGAGAGTTGGGGCATGCCCCTAAGATAAGGAAGCAGCCAGAGATCTGCACATTAGTGCTGGAAATGGGAAGGATGGCCCTGAGCAAAACCACTGAAGATCACTCAAGGAAGGCTTCCTAGAGATTAGAAAGGAAAGGAGTCAAGTTTGAAGGAAGAAGATGGAAGGGGCTCAGATGGAGCATCAGATGCTTCTGGAGGCGCTAGGCAGAGAAGAATGAAGGTTCTAGAGGAAGAATTTGCCTATAGGAGTTGGAGAAGGAAGGCATATTGCAATTCTACAAAGCCAGGAGGTCAAGAGAGCTGTTATTATCATCATTGACTAAAAGACACTCCAGGATTTGGAAATGAAACGAAAAGCAGGGTGTTGAAGTCCCTCCTCTGGACCAACCCAGCAATTATCCATGAGGCACCACCCTAATCACACCAGGCTCTCCATCCAGGATGGCCCAGGACAGATTGTCTCTGAGCCCAGCCTGTCGCTGCTCCTTCCACAGATACACAACCACCAGGCCCATCCACTGGCATTAAGCACTGCATTTACTCAGTGACAAACCAGAGGCACTTAGGCTCAAAAATAAAATGTTTATTTAGAAAAATATTCTGCTGGGGGACTGGGAGTAAGAACAGGAAATTGGGGGTCCTACACCAGATAGCCTCGGGGCTCTTTTAAGCTAAGAGTCTAGTAAGTGGAGGGGCACACTATGGTTCATTGAGTGGTTAGTACAACCTTCCACCCTTGCTGGAGTCCTGAGAGGAAGTCATCCAGTAGCCTCCAGTACAGCTCCACACTGCTGCGAGCAGAATTAGGCAGCTCTGATTTTTAGAAATTTCTCAAATTTCTTCTTTACATGCCAGCAAGGCTATTTCTCCCAGTCCCACCCTTTTCTAGATCCTAGTGCACCCTGATGCTAGGTTACTAGAGGAAAGAGGCCTTTGATAATGCACCTCAAAGCAAGGACACACAAAGACTAGCATAATAAACATTTAAGGGATATGCTATGAGGAAATTAGTCTCAGCAATGTGAAGAATCTGATAGATACTCCACCCTGAGGCCAGACAACAGTGTGGTCCCCCCACCAAAGGATTAGAAGCCTCTTCCTCCTTCCCCATCAGCAGCAAACATGAATGAAACTGAACCACAAACAACCTAAAGGAGAAGAAACAAGGATTTGGTAGGGAGAGCAAAAGCTCTCAAGGGACTGAGGAGCCAGATGAGGAAAGAAGAAAGAAAATGCCAAGGAAGAGAGTCAGGCCCACCTAGGAAGGGGGAGGGCAGCATGAAGCAGCCCTGGAGTCTATAATAAGGAACTGGGAAATGGGTTGAATATCATAGAGGACCCACCTCCAAGCCTTATCCCCTACGGACCACTTTATAGAAGTGAGGTTTTGTACAATCTTCCTGGGCTCCACAAATGTGCTTAAGAAAGATTTCTGTGGTCTGGACTCCATTGCCCCTCCCTCCCAGTATTAAGGGTGGAGGACAGAGGCCACACTTGTGATGGGACCAAATCCACCCTCCATGGAACTTCCCCATATTTGTAATTCTATAATATTAGAATGGTAGAGTTGGAAGGGAGCTTCAAGGTCATCTGGTCTCATGTCCTAGTTTCACTCCTTTTTTTTCCTTCTTTTTTTAACTTTTTATTGTGATTTGGATGAAAATTTACAGAGCAACTTAGTTCTCCATTCAACAATTCATATACATTTTATTTCATGACATTGATTATAACTCCCACAATGTAACAGGACTCATCCCACTTCCTCACTTGTGTTTCCTGTTTCCATTTATCCTTCTTTCCTATCCCTTCTTGCCCTCCGAACTTTCTCTCTGGGCAAATGCTGCCCTTGTGATCTCATATGGTTGCTTGCTGTAAGGAGTGCATACCTCCCTGCTGTTGTTCACCTCATAGGCCTGTCTTCTGTTTGGCTGAAAGTTGAGCCTTGAGGATAAGTTCAGTCCTAGGCTTGAAGTGTGACTAAGGGCTGTAGTCTCAGGGGCTCCACCAAGCTTCATCTAACCAGAAACCTTGGTCCTTTTTATGATTTTGAGTTTTTTTCCACATTTTTCTCCTACTCTATCCAGGACCTTCCCTTTCAGAGTAGTCAGTAGTGGTAGCCAGGCGACATCTAGTTCTTCTGGCCTTGTTTTATTCTTAAGGACCTTGAGGCTCTACAGGGTGTGGGACAGGGTGTAGAGACTGTGCAACCTTGGGTAACCAAAGAGGTTGCACCAGATGACCTCTAAGCCTGCTTTGGCCCATCTCTCTGTGATCTGAGTGACTTGCCCAAGGCCACCCACACAGCTAATCAGGACTAGAACCAGGACTCCCACCCAGCTCAGACCACTCCCCCATGGAGCAACCCAAAGTGAACTCCTCCTTCTACCACATGCCCACCCTTCAAACTGTCCAAGACAAACACACTCAACACTTGATCAAATGTCATAAGATCTGTCTTGTCCACCACTCTACCCAGCTCAGAATCTGGCACACACTAGGCATTGGTAAGTACTTGTTTTTTAAGAGACAAATTCTTGTCCATGACAGTTACACTCATGGATCTTCTTGAATCCTCAGATTCATAAATGCTACTGTAACATATTTAATAAAAAAAAGAAAAAGTTGTCATCCAGTTGACTCCAATTTATGGCAACCTTATATATGTCAGAGTAAAACTGTGTTCCACAGTGTTTTAGTGGCTAATTTTTCAAAAGTAGATCACCAGGCCTTTCTTCCAAGTCACCTCTTGTGGACTTGAACTGACAACTATTTGGTTTGCAGCCCAGAATGTTCCTCTCTTTAAAAAAAATACATAGAGAGAGAGAGAGATACACACATACTAGTGATGGAGAGAATGACAAAATGGTTTGGACATTTGAATGCTTGGCCCTTCACTGACTGAGTGATTTTTTTTTTTTTTTTTTTTTTTATGCACACAAAGTATACAAAGGGATCTCAACTCATGTAGTAGCAAAAGTACTAATGGTTCTACCATGGACTTATAATTAAACCCTGGAATGCTAAGGATCTGATAGGTTATAGCTTCTCTCAGCCTTGCCTTCTCTAGGTGAGCCATCCTCAACCATACCCCAGGTCGACAGTCTTTCCCCATGTTGATCCCCACCTCCAGGAAACCTCTGGCCAGTGCCACTTCTTGTTGCTCTCCACAGCCCACCTTCTCTCCTTGTGCCACCCTAATTTCACCCCAACCACAACTACAACTCCTTAACTTCTTTTTCTCTAATTGCTCTCAAGCTTGTCCTTGCTTGTCGATTTGTCACTCTAAATGCCATTGATTCACATGTATTTATTTATTCAATAAAATATGGGTTAGCACCTACTACGTGTCAGGTCCCGTGCTGAGAGCTAGGAATTCAGCAAGACCAAAGCCCAGTCCCTGCACCAAAAGACCTTAGAGTCCAGTGAGGAAACAGGCATTAAATAGGTAATGAGACAAGTATTTAATTGTAATTATGATAAGGAGAGAAAAGTATACGGCATGAAAGAGACTTAACCTAGTTTATAATCTGTTTTATTCTTGAACATACCAGGAATTGTCCCACCTCAGGGCCTTTGCACTTGCTGTTCCCACTTCCTGGACTGCTCCTTCCCGGATACCCACATAGTTTGCCCCCACCTCCTATAAGCCTTTATTTAAAATCCACCTTCCCTGGCCACCTTAAACCAAAATTGTAACACTCAGGCGCCCCCCCCCTTTGACACTTCTTATCCCCTTTCCTAGCTTTATTTCTTTCTACTTGCTTTGGTTACCTAGCACCCCTCTAACAGAAATATCATAAATGTGATGGCTTTAACAAACAGGAATTTATTCTCTTACAGTTTGGAGGCTGTAAGTCTGAATTCAAAGCACTAGGCTCTAGGGGCTGGGTGAAAGTCCCTCAACCTTAGGCTTCAGCTCTGCCTCCTGCCCACTGAAGCTGGAGGATTTTCTTCACTCAGACAGCTGCTGGCTGCTGAGGCTGACAAATCCAAGGTTGACAAGTAAAAAGGCACAGTCCCAATGTTACCAAACATGGCAGGCCACTAATTCAAGTCCAGATGAAGTCCCTCTTGGGACTGATCTTTCAGCAGGGCATGGCAGGCTGTTGAGCAATGACTTGGCTACACACAGGGTTCAAGCATGCCAAAAAGCTGGAGACCTTCCTGAAGGTTGCTTCTTATATACTGGAAGCAGCCCACATCTCTAAAGCAGTTACTCAGCTGTTCCAGTAGATTCCACCATGGAATTGATTATTAACCTCACCATGGAGAATAATTACATCCAGCTGCCCAGCCACTCAACCAGGCCCAGCCAAGTTGACACAACCTAACTACCACACTACTAACACCTATCATATCCTTATACACCATTATTTTATATGTTTATTTCTGGTCAGTTTCCCTGCACTAGAATATGAGCTCCATGAGGACAGGGATACTGTCTGTGTTGTTTTCGTCTATATCTCTTACACTTAGGACAATGCCTGGTATACAGGAGGTGCTCAATAAATATTTGTTGCATGAGTCCCCACTCAGTTTCATCTCATTGATTTCCTCCTATTTTTCACCTATTGTGATCCTTGTGACTCTCTATCTTATTCTCTGAAACATTAGTCACTTCCCGCACTCAACTTGGGGGCACAGGTACATTTGAGAAACATTATTATTTTTTTAGTGTGTGTGTGTGTGTGTGTGTGTGTGTGATTAAGCACATCCACAGCTAGGTCTCTAGAAGACATTTTAAATAGTTTGTGATCAGCTAATACCTACCCAGTGACTCCATGGAGGA